AAATAACTGGGATGAGAATCAAGTTTGATAAAATTATAGATAACAGACAGTGTGAAGAGCACAAGTGATTGTCTTCAGCGAAGTAATAAAGTGTGGCACTGGTGACCAGCATCAGTAAACGCCATCCTTGGCCTAGATGACATGACCCATTCAGCTACTCAGAAATTCTTTAGTCCTCAGTTACCAAAATTTTTAAATGAGAAAAATGAATGAGCCAACCTCTAAGAAAACTGAAACATCTCTTAACAGTTTATGATTCTATGAAAAATGGAGAGATCTCAACCAGCAACAAACCATAAATCATAAATGACAAAGGTGGTGGGGGGGGCATGTAATATGCTATTCCCTTCCTACACACAAACACCAAATTTCAATTCCATCAAATGCTAAGAATATAATGTGTAAAATCATCGCTCATCATGTTCTATGCTTGGAGTATCAAAATACTCCGAGTATTTTTAGTGGAATCCTCATTTTATTCCAAGTAATTTGAGTTTTTTCTAGTCTGCCACCCTTCCACCCCGCCACCCCCCCAGTTCCAGGCTTCTCTTCCTTGTTATCCACAGGAAGTTATGCTTAAATTACTAAATGCTTACTGAACAGTGAACATTTTCCAGTAGGGAAATTCGTCACTTCCTGTGGAGAGGTAGAAAAAAGCAGAGGAAGAAATTCTTTACCTGTGTAGCGCTGACCTACAGGTCAGAGAAACAGATTAAACACTGGAATGATGTCTTGCAAAATAACAGAGCAAAATTAAAATACCAGTAACTAAAATACCATTTCCTATTAGTTTGTTTTTGTCATTTCTAAGCACCACCCTGTACATACACATCAACATACCTACAAAAGGCTTAAGTAGAAGTATCAGTTTTATTATTGCAAAGCAAAATAATTTACGTCTCATGCAGTAATCCAATGAAAAGAACATTTGCACTCTAATTGGTGATCCTGTGGAGTCTGAGAATTACTCTGTGTAAATAGGCAGTAAAGCTCTCAGATTTTCAGGTTTATCAAGGTAGCCTGACTCTTCGCATTTCTTGAATGTAAACTTTTGAATCTGATCTGATTTAAACCTTTAGGCTTTAGTGTCAAAAGGGTTCTTAGCTGTGCCAATCTTTTCCGGCACTGTCTGGTCTATCAGAGGGGCGAGAGGAGGCAGGTCAGACCGCATCTAACTTTCAGGAGTTCGAGGAATGGACCCAGTGAGGCCGCACACTGGAGATGGGTCAGGACTACAGTGCATCGATGACCAATGATAACTTTTGGATCAGATCTGGTTTTACCCTTGGAAGGGAATTTAAAAATCAGTAGCTTAGCATAAACCTAAGGAACTTTCTCTCATTAAGAACAAAGCAACAGCCAACAGAAGAGCCAATATGAGGAACCTAAAACAAGTGAATGTGAACCTTACATAGTAGCTCTTCATTTACACTAAAGAATAACATATGTGCTGGACAAAAGGAAAGACTGAATAACAAAATCAAACTCAAATATAAACCACTGAAAAGCCACACAAGTGGCAAAAATAGTATTATTAGGATCAAAGTGATATGGCAAATGTAATGAAATATAGGAAGAGCTTTTTAGGCATTTCCATTTAAAAAAACATTCTGTGATGGGGCCAGCCTAGTGGCTCGTTGGTTAAGAGTTAGCTTGGGAGCGCGAGCTCTGAGCAGCAGAACTGCTGGTTCGGTTCCCACATGGGCTAGTGACGCTGCGCCCTCTACAGCTAAGATGGTGAACAACAGCTCAACCTGGAGTTGGGCTGCTGTGAGTTGCTGGCGAGAGCGTAGGCTGCAGCCCCTGTGGCAGTGGGTTGCCATGGGCTACTGTATGTAGCCAGCAGCCAGTGTGAGCGGCCAGCAGCCACAGTGCACGGCCATCCAGAAGCCGGCGAATGATGTGCCTTGCCTGGGAAGAGTGCAATGATGGTGCCAACTTGGGCCAGTGAAGCAACATCCTCCACACTAGACTGAAGAACAAAACAACAACAACTTGTCTGTTCCCCTCCCCCAATTCCCCAATAAAATCTTTAAAAAATTAAAAATTAAAAAAAAAACATTCTGCGAGACCTTTTTAACACCTTGTAGTATTTAAAACTATATTTATAAAATGTATTAGTCCAAGAGCCCTTTGCTTTATTTGCCATAATCAGTGGGGCTAATTATGAATACTTCTCATTAAAATAACCCAATGTACAAACATCTTTAAAATAGAACTAAATGCTTCTATTGTAAAACATAAAAGTATAAGATTGACGCAATGACAAACACCTGTTTATTGTATTAAATACAAGTCTGAAATGTTAAGTAGATATTACAGATTTCAAAAAACTACATTTCAGATTCCCAAATGTTCTGCTGGTGCTTTGACAATTAAAACAATGCTTTAGAGGTTTTTCTTTCTTTCTTTCTTTTTTTAATTCATATAAAAAGCAACAACTGGGGGATATAAAATAAGTAAAACCTGAAACTTTGACGTTTATTCAAAATTCTTTTGAATTCCTAAAACGGCTGTAAACGGTTTGTGTCGTCCATGTTCATAGCTTAAAGGAATGTGACTATCACAGTTTGTATGGATTTTGCCCGGAAAGCCCACCAACGCTACACAGTAGTTTCGTGTTTCCATAATCCAGTCCTAACATTGCCAGTGCTATCTGTACCCAGCAACGGTCCATCCTGCCCATTGCTTTTGACTGGTCCATTCTGAATGGCCAAGTTGAGTCCATAGGACTTCTGCTGGCTTTCAAGTTCAACTACAATTGGCTTCCTTAATGCATCTTTTTTACTACTAGTTGAAACGGGCTTTTCCAAATTTCTGCTGCTTTTGGGGAGTGTGCTACAAGCATCACTGCTGTCTTGCTGGGGTGGGTTGTACTGTCTCTCTCTATAGGCTAAGTAAGCTCTCCGGCTCCTCGAGTGGCCTTCGTTATTGCCCGGCCGACTTTTTGGTAAGCCGTTCTGCACGCTGCCTTCCACGCTGGTGGGGACATCGTAGGCATATTCTCTGAGGACGGTGAGTCGGCTTGCCCGGTGCCCTTTACTTCTATTTTTGTGATGGCGGCTTGGGTGCACATTTGTTCGAAACTGAACTTCTAAAGGTGCCACATGCATTTTAATATCGTTGTCCATTGAATGTTCAGTCAGGCTATTATCGAGCTGGGGTGTGGCGTTCAGAGGCAGAGAATTGGCGTGGCACTGAGCTGCAGCAGCCTGAAGGTTGGTTAATTTGCATCCCTGGGAGGAATTTTTGAAGCTTGATGCACTCTTGTTTGTGCACGATGACTCCGCGCTGCTGTTGGTGCATTTGGGAGCCTCTCCATTTGTCCCGCTCGAGTTGGGGGGCTGCACGTTAACTTGCACCGAGTACGAGCTCCGGCCTGGGCAGCAAGTCATGATCCACGCAAGTCTGACGTCCTCCCGATTGACACAATGGTGAGCCACGATGAACGCGCTGAGGCTTAAACACGTGGCCCCGAAAAAGAAGCTAAAAACCAAGTCCAAGGGGTAATACAAAGAAACAGCCAAGGCCCCAAACATCCACAAGACAACATATAATAGCAAAGTCAGGCTGGCTCCCAAAAGTTGAGAATGAAAAGTGTGCTCATTTTCCAAGGCTGACGTGGGTATCAGAGACAAGGACATGGAATCCTGATGATTCACTTCGCCGTTCTCATTGGCCGCCAGCCTCTGCTGCTCCTCGGTGGGCTCCTTCAGCTCATATTTGCGCTCAGGGTGCCTTTTCAACTGAATAAATATGCTTAGAAAGTACATACAGTTCACGAAAGTGATGAAGCTGGCAGGCCCGTAGAAGGCTCCCAAGGAGGGTTCCCACGCCATCCAGCAACTAGGAAAGAAAACGGTGAGCCAGCTCAGATGCTATATATGTCAACAAACTGTTTACAAAATTGCATGAAACGTTAGTGCCTGGGAAGCAGTTAAAAGAGAAGCAACTGGGTCAGGTACGCAGGGAACACAAACTACTCACTAGGGCGCACTT